CCGTAGCAGAGTTACCCACCTCCTTACAACTCCCCTCACTTCTTGGAACTTCTAGAAAGCCCTTGGCACCAGATTTTTACTTTGTATTATTTTTTTTTTTGAATTTTTCCTGTTTTGTGATATAAGTCACATCTTCAACTTCAACTCTTAGAACTGCTGAGATCTAAACCTCTTTAGACATGTTCTTAAGCTCCAAACCTTTATTTCTTCCTATGAAACACTTTTGCCTAGAAAGGCAGAATTAATATCCTCAAAGTTCTGGTTGCCCTCTCTGCACGTCCCCACCCTTCCACCTGCACCTCCTCTGGCCCAACATACACTGCTTGGGGCCTGCCATCCTCACCTCCTCCCTGCCTCAAGCAGCCGGTCAACTGGTCCTCTCAATTGCTGTCTCTCACATCATCTCTTCGGAGCCAGTCCCTCACTTCATCGCTGCCTCATTTTAAGCCTTCCTCGTTTCTTCCCTGGATTTCTGCACCGGAATCTCCCTCTCAACTGGCATCCGCACCTTCCAGTCTGCACTGCTAGACTTCCCAGCTCAGCCACCCACCCCAACCACTACTGTCTTGATTTAGTGTCCCCTTGTCTAAAATCATTTGGTTAAAACTACAGATTACTACGGCATCTGGTAACTGTCATGTGTGAAACTTACTTGCTGTTTCTGCCTTACCACCCTCCAAGTGACCACATGTGCTCTGAAACAATAGAAGACATGTGTCATGTCTCTCATGCCAACCTTTCTCTGCCTAGGCATGTTCCTCATATCAGAAACTCCCTTTTCTCATATTTGCTTGGTTAATATCTATTCAAATTTCCTTTTTACCTTTCCCCTTTTCTTTGAAGTGTAGGGCATTCAATCCAGGATGTCTTGCACATGCCAAGCAAGTGCTCTTACCACTGAGCTACACCCCAGCCCTCTTGTTCACTTTTTAAGACCATAGCTTTTTTTGGGGGGGGGGTGGAGGATACCAGGGATTGAACTCAGGGGACTCGACCTCTGAAACACATCCCCAGTCTTATTTTGTATTTTACTTAGAGACAGGGTCTCATTCAGTTGCTTAGTGCCTCACTGTTGCTAAAGCTGGCTTTGAACTCCCTGACTCAGCCGCTAGAACCCCGGGATTACAGGCGTACACCACCACGCCTGGCTAATACCATGGCTTTGAAGACTCACTTTTTTTTTTAGGAAATCTTCCTTAAACTGATCTATCTCTCGACTGTTCCTAAAACTACCAGTTCATGATGTGAGGTGGGCTTCCATACATACTGGGATTTTTATCTTTATCAAAACTCACCACACGATAGTGTCACTGCTTACTGACTTTCTCCTCCAGCAGTAGGCAGACTGGAGCTGTATGGAGCTCATCTCCTTATCCCAAGGCTCAGTATGCATACCCAGTGCTCAACTGTGTTTGTTGGGTGAAGGAACAGATTCAAGGGGGGAACCTGTGTCCCATAGATGCTTTTTGGCTCTGAGCCCTGTAACTCTGAATATCCTTTCTTTAAGCTGTTTTGAAATACACTGTACATTATCATTATCTATAGTTACCTGACTATGCAAAAGACCTAGGCCCTGTAATCTCACTATGTTTCCTTAAGTGCTACCGCATTTGAGTTTTACTTTTCAGGGGACATCTTCTAGGTGGGAAAAACTACTGGCCTCTTTAGAGAATATCCAGTTGGGCTGGGCTTGTGGCTCAGTGGTAGAGTACTCACCTAGCATGTGCAAGGTCCTGGGTTCGATCCTCAGCACCACATAAATAAATAGAATAAAATTATTGTGTTCAACTACAACTAAAAAATAAATATTAAAAAAAGAGTATCCAGTGTCCTTTGCTAATAAACCGTTCATTCAAAATAGAAGCCCCAAACCTGACCATGACCTTCAAAGACCTGCCAGATTGCTACACCCCACTTCCATGGCCTCCTTGCTCATTATCAAGAACACAGGGCCTGCTCCCACCTCATGGTCTTCATAATTGCCCAGAATGCTAAAATGTTCTTCCTCCAGATAGATGCTCATGTTACCTTCTCAGCGTTGCCTTCTACAGCTCCCCCTAGAACCTCATACTTCCTAGAATCCTGCTTCCATGTTTCCCCATTTCCTAGAGTCCTGTTTTCCTATTCCATTTCCCCCACTGCATCTATCATCTGGCACACTGTGTATTCCAGCCATTTCTCTCAATAGATGTCAGCGGCCTGTGGGTAGGAATTGTAGTCTGTTTCATTCCCTGCTGAACTCCCAGCATCTCATTCCTTGTACACAGCAAGTGCTCAGTGATTGATCTGCACACTAGATCATGGTTTGCAATCTTTTAAAAAGCAAACAAAAAAAGGACAATCCAACTTAAAAAAATGTGCAAAAGACTCGAATAGATGTGTCTCTAAAGAAGGTGTATAAAAGGCCAATAAGCACATAAAAATACATCATTTATCATGAGGGAAATGTAAATCAATTCTATAATGAAATATCACTTCATACCCATTGGCAAAACCATTATTTAAAAAAAAATAGAAAATAACAAGTGTATGTAAGAACCCTTAGGCATTGTTGGTGGGAACGTAAAATGGTGCAGCGACCGTGGAAAACAGAATTACCATTAAAAAAAAATTAAACAGAATCACCACATAACCTAGCAATTCTACTTGCCTCCTATGTATGAAAGAACTGAAAACAGTAACTTGAAGAGATATTGGTGCACCTATGTTCATAAAAGCCTTATTATTCACAATAGACAAAAGGTGAAAGCATCTCAAGCCTCCATGAATGGATGAATGGATAAACAGAATGTGAGATACACTTAAGATGGAAATTTAGACTCATGAGGCAACCTGGATGAACCCTGATGACATTATCCTAAGTGAAAAGAGACAGACATAAAAAGACCAATATTACACCATTCTACTTATGAGGTACTTAGAGTGGTTAAATTCATGAAGAAAAAATATAAAAAGTGGTTGTCAAGGATCAGGGGAAGGAAGAATGGCGGGGGTTAGTGTCTCAAGTACACAGAGCTTCAGTTTGAGAAGAGGAAAAAGTTTCGGAGTTGGATCCTAGTGATGATGGCATAAATTCGTGGATATAGTCAATGCCACTAAACTGTACACCTAAAACTGTACACCATACAATAACAAATTTTATGTATGTAAATAATTTTATGTATATTCATGCAGTGTACCACAATGAAAAATAAAAGGAAGCACAGCTCCTGCCTGAAACTCTAATAAGAAGCCTACCACATAAGGCAGATATGAGTGAAGCTACTGAGGCTGAGGCAGGAAATGGAGGCCCAGGCTATGCTCACTTTGCCCAGTACCACATTGCTGCCTCCTGGGGCATGGACCCCACAGAGATTCAGAGCCATCACAGAGCAGGGACAGGGCTCCACCCTAAAGTTCATCACACTAGCTCCACAGTTTTTATGAACAGGAAGGTAAACATCACCCCTGGCTCCATTTCTAGAAGGAACTTAGTTAGCAAAAAGGAAAAAATGCCATCACTAACTGGCCTTAGGACAAATTCCACATTGACTTGTTTTTGGAGAAATCACTGTATTCCCAGTGGCAGGGAAGAAATACCGGAGGAAAGAACAACATTAAGTCACTGACACTCACACTCCATAATCATTAATACCTTACATTTTCTGAGCCCTTTCCCATAACAGCCAAATTCTCAAAATAATCCTGTCAAGTAGGAGTGAAAGGAGTATAATCTCCAATTCACAAGTGAACAAACATATGAAATTCACTGGAACTTATCCATGCAGTGACAGAAGAAGAGTTGCCCTTGGGATAATTGTCACTAACATTTATTAGGGATTTATTAATTAAGACACTGGCTCAAAGTTTTCCACAGACTATTGGATTTCATATATTTAACCAGCCTGTTAATATCCCTATTTATGCAATAGAAAAGTAAGGCTCAAATAATAAATAACTTTCCCCAAATTAAATAGCAGATAAGTGGTAGATTTCACCGGGCTATCTTACCCTAGAGCCTGTATCCCTAGCCATGATTATTCTATCTTTCCCATTAGCACCCTTGATTCCGGTTCTTTGGGATGGGCCTAACACAATGTTTCCTTTGGCCCTGACACAGTACAACTGGTGAATCCCTTGGTCACCGTGTTTTCCACTCTAAAATGGGCTAATACTTGTAAAATTAATCAGTACTCTTATTTTCTAAGCATAAATGTAAAAAGACACCATTTTTTTAGACTAAGAAGAGATTCTTAGATCTTTTAAAATTCTATAAAATTTTTTTTTGTACAAAAATACCCTTAAGATTATTAGAATAGTCACATTTGGGTTATTTGGTTCACTGTCCCCTGGTTTTCCTAGGGAATGTTTCTCCATAGGATTAATAATCTGCTGATGGATAGAGACTGTTAATAATCTGCTGACTGTTCCCTATCCTATTTTGAGGGATTCTTCAGAACTTTCTGAGGATATGTCTGCTTTATTCTCCAGAAACTAGAGAGAGGAGACATGCTTTGTGGTTGATTAATAGGAGGGCATTCAGTCTGCAAGGCCACCCCATGGGCTGCAAGGGCTTTAGGCCAACTGAAACAAATATTAATTTGGAACAGTGTCAGGCACAGGCTCCAACTGAACAACTCTAATGAATAGGCAACGGAAAGAAAGGGGCAAAGTCATTGCAGGGCTCTGAGCCAACAGCTGGAGCTATTTCCACCCTTCATGAGAAGCTTCTGGATCATTGCTTTCACAAAGACCTAGAAGTGGCTTCTTTGAAACCACCAAAGATTAAGTATACAACTCTATATAGAAAACCTATATAGAAGGATGGTGATTTATTTACTTTGTTACAGATATAAACACCAGCTCACTAAACTAGTGCTACCCTCTTGGAAGGTGTGATTCCCTGAGCATGGACCCAGCACCCGCTGAGTCTGGGATAATGCTTTTCTCACCTCCACTCCTGACATGCTACGGTGGGGGGGCTGTTCCTCTCCCCTGAGAACCAAGGAGGGGGGTCTTACCGAGTTCTCCTTTAGCTGCAGCCCTTCCCCGTTAGGAAGGGAGGACCGTCTCTTGGAGTTCCTGTTTGGGGTTGAGGTAATGGCCCCTGCTTTCTTCTTCACAGTGAGCACCTCACAGCTGGCTTGGTCTTCATTGTGTGTGCTCTTCCCGGCATTGATAACCCTGGAGAAGAAGCCAGAAAAGCTGATCAGACAGAGTGGTTCCCGGAAAGCTGAGCATCTCCCTCTCAAGGGTCAGCCAAGGGGTCTCCAGAGCTGGCAAAAAAACTGAAGCACCACTTAAGGCAAAGGACCTTATGGTCTCTATATTTTATCCTCCTGAATAAACAGATTTTTAAGAAATGGAATTATATTAGCCCCCGCTGGAACACTCACTGAAAAAGTTGTTCTGAGATTGGCTCACATTCACAGGCGTTTGATAGATGTGATCAACTCCACGACCCATTCTATTCAACACAGGAGGCGATCACTCCTTCAGGTTCATTTGGAGCCTTAACACTGTGGCAGTTACAAGGAAGACAGACTGGCTGGCTCAGGGAACTGTGTTTCCTCTAAGTGATAAGAGAGGAAATCCACCTTCGATCTTAGCAACCAACATGGTAGCAGTTTACAGCACATTGTGAACTCTGAGCAAATAAAGAACCACACTTCACTATGCTGTGTCCATTTTACTCACACCCAGAGAAGTGAATGGATCAAAAGTGTATTCTTTTAAAAGCATTATTTTTAGTAACTGGGGATTGGATGCTGGCTTGTGCATGCTAGGCAAGCTAAATCACCAAGCTAAATCCTCAACTCTTTTTTTTAAAAAAAAATTTATGTGTTTATTTATTTAGAGACAGGGTCTGCGTAAGTTACTCAGGTTGGCTTTAAACTTATAATCCTTCTGCCTCAGCCTCCTAAGTCACTGGGATCACAGGTGTGGTGCATGGCTATTTTAAAAGTATTTTAATCCTCCATCTTTTGTCCTGTAGAATAATGCTCATCACACCAGGCTATAGCACAGTCTGATTTGGACACTAAACACCCATAATAATAATAATAATACCACAGCATGTAGACTTGGCCTTGTCTAATTAGGAAGCACAGGGATGTTTCAGAAAACCACAATGCGTCTTCCATACACTTTTCCCCTGTGTTAGGTGATTGAATACTCATCTTCTGGGCTTCAGCACCATGATGTTATTAAACAATTAAGCAGCAGCTAGAATAGATTTCCTGAAAGACAACTCTCCTTGATTTGCCATTGGTTGTGTTTCCTTTCTGAAACTTCAACAAGGTCAAAGTAGCCGACAGTGTGGAGTACACAGAACTCAATGGCAAGGAAAAAAAAGGGTGGTTTTTGTATTGTTTGTTTTCATTTAAGGTAAGCCAAATGGAAATTTACTCTGTGAGTGTGGTGTGTACACAGCTCTGTTCATACAGCTATACACCCTCCTACCAGTTAAGTAAAAAATTATCATTCTCAAATGACTTTAAAAAAAATTCCCCCTTAATTATAGACTTGAATAAGCTGTGGAAATAGTAGAGTCTTATGTACCATCTTTCCCCAATGGTAACATCTTATATAACTATGGTAAAATATCAAATCCAAGAAATCCATGTGGATATAATACCATCGCCCAGACTACAGACTTTATTCAGATTTCACTAGTTTTTCCATCAAATAGTTTTGAGTCCTAAAAATCATTTACCTCCTGTCTGTCCTCTCCTGTCCTTGGTAGTGATATTAAACTCCAAAGCTGACCTAACTTCACCAAGAGGTCCCAGAAACCTTACTTTATGCATGAAAAACCCAGGGCCCTGGGAGACTGTGGCCCGCACAAGGTCACAGGGCTAAATGCAGCAGAGCTGTGAACACACTTCCAAGTCTGGAGCTCTTTCTGCCCCAGCTCTCCATTGAGTTATTTTCCTACTGTGCACCTATTCCTGGCAGCACGTGGTTCAGAGGTCTGTGCTGCTGTGACTCATCAAAGCAGGAGAGCCGTGAAAGAAAAATCACTGGTGACCTTACTTTGCCGTATCACGCTGAACACAGCGAAATATCAAAAAGCCAGAACTGCCTATCTAGTGGCCACATGGCAGCCCCTACCCTACAAACCTGTCTGTTTAGTCAGACAGTTGATTATTATCCAGATGATAAAATACTAACAAATATCATTATCAAAATATCAATTCAAAAATCAAGCCCTTTAACACACACATAACTCTTATCCACCCCTACCCCCTGCCCCCATCTTTTGTGTGGTGCTGGACTTGAACTCAGGGCCTTGTACTTACTTGTTAGGCAAGTGCTCTACTACTGAGCTACATCCTTGAGCCCTTACTCCATATTTTATATCATTTCAAATTCCATACTCTGGACAACTTTATTGGAAAATACGGATTCTTCTCAATCGTGTTCTCCAAAATTTAATCGCTATCAACTCAAGACATTTTATTTTGCTCTTCAAAGGCAAAACGCTTTTTTACCAAGTGTAAAGAAAATCTTTAATTCATCTAAAAATAAATTGAGGAAAACTTGTTTTCCCAAATTGTGGAGTTAATACACTCACTACTTGGCATTTGTATCAGTAACTACATTCCGTTCTTGTCTTTTGCTTTAGTGTGAAATCGGCACTCCCTTGAGAGCAACAGATACTTTTCTTCATCTAAATCATACCTGCCCGTGATGCTTATTTTGAACACTTAAAATGTACTGGGACATGAATCATCATACTTTTGGTGATGTTATTTTCCAATCTCTTACAAAGAAGGAAAACATTTCCCTTGAAATTAAACTAAAGGTAATGGACTGTGAGATGAAGAGCCCAGGGTCTCTCTGCAGAACATGACACATAGCAGGTGCTATTGATTAAATGAAGGAATGAACCAGACAGAAATTAACCCTGATACTTCCTGATGGGAGAAGAGTTATGTTATCTTAAACTTGTTGAAGGCTGTCTACATGCCAGAGACTATTGTTAGCATTTCATATGTAGCAATTACTGATTTCATCCTCTTGACAACTCTAGGAGATAGCTGTCACCGTTAGAGTTTTTTAAAAGATAAGCATCGATAGTGTGGCAGAGATTAGTCAAGTTACTTCTGCAAATCTCAGGTCCTTAGGTGTATTTCATGAATCAAATTCAGTGAACTGCTAAATTTGTGTGTTGGGCAGGAGGAGTTTTAGTCACTTAAATAATTAGGTAATTTGAACATTTTGACCAAGCTATCCCACTCCTTGATTTATACCCAAAGGACTTAAAAACAGCATACTACAGGGACACAGCCACATCAATGTTTATAGCAGCACAATTCACAATAGTTAAGCTATGGAACAAATCTAGGTGCCCCTCAATAGATGAATGGATAAAGAAAATGTGGTATATATACACAATGGAATATTACTCAGGCATAAAGAAGAATGAAATTATAGCATTTCTGGTAAATGGATGGAACTGGAGGCTATCATGCTAAGTGAAATAAGCCAATCCCAAAAAACCAAATGCCGAATGTTCTCTTTGATATAAGGATCCTGATTCATAATGGGGATGAGGGGGGAGCATGGGAGGAACAAACTTTAGATAGGGCAAAGGAGAGGAAGGGGATCAAAGGGGGCTTGGGGGTAGAAAAACAGCAGTGGAATGAAATGGACATGATTATCCTAAGTACATGTATGAAAACATGAATTGTGTGACTTTGTGTACAACCAGACACATGAAAAATTGTGCTCTATTTGAGTAATATGAATTAAATCACATTCTGCTGTCATGTATAACAAATTAGAATAAATAAAAAAAGAAAAGAATTATGTAAGTTGAAGTTAGGACTAAATTAAAAAGGAAAAATGTAGACGATGAAGGGGAAGGAAAGCTATTGTCTCATCAATACAGAAAGTTTATACCCACTTTTTTTCAAATCTAAGAAGAACAGCACATATCTTTCTAGGGAGAGAGACAAGTAGCAAACTTACTTAATTTGTGTATTGCTTTAACCTACCAACATACCTTCAACTGAATCACCCCTAAGTTTTCTTTCTGTCCTGGTAAAAACAGGTAAACAGAATTTCAAAGACTCAGAAGTTAAAAGTCCTATGTGTATGTGATAGATGTAGCTCAAAGTTATGACTTACATACCACGTGACCTTGAGAACATAAAAATAGCAGTGATCCATTCTGCGCTACTCTCATATCCTTGGGAAACTTGTTTTCCTTCTTTCTATTGGTAAAATACACTAGTCCCTTATTTTGATAACCAGCTCCACTTGAATTTCAGCAGAAAATTCCTGCTTTTAATTGCAATTTTTAAATTATGAAGTTATCTGATTTCTCAACTTTTCATAAACTTAACTTCAAGGATATTCATCTGACATGAGAGCTTGCATCGGGTCCCCATACCTAAACACAGGCAAGTAAATATCCTCAAGAATTCTTAAATAGTGAGCCCTTGCCACAAAGGTCATTGGACCTAAGCACTCATCATTGTGGCTGTTTTCAAAAGGATTTGCACAAGACAGTGAATCAACAAAGACAGTCAATCATTGACGTGGTTTGAAGGATCCTCCAGTGCCATGTACTAGGTGTCAAATCATTAATCACCAACTCCTCCTTCCCCTCCAGATGCACCCAGTAGAGCAGGGACAAACTAGTTCAAACTTGCTCTCTGCTAATTCCCAGCTCTAGCTGTGGGTTCCTGGGCAGGTTACTTTGTCCCTCTAAAAGGGGGATGCTCATAATCACTTCCTGTCATGGAAGAGTTGTGAGAATTAAATGGTCTAGCTAAGAGCACTCAACAGTGCCTACATGCTGTGAGCACTCAATATGCTATTTAATATAAAAGTTCAAATACAAAAATAGCTGCCTCTTCTGTTGGACCCAGGGGACTTTATACAGACAGGGGACTTTATACTGCCAGGTGACTTAGAGGAGAACCTCCTCCTCCCTCCCTCCTCTTCCATCAGCTTCCCTTTGCCACCTCAAGGACACAGCCTACCTCCAGACATTCAGAACCCTTCAGTGGCATGGCAGGACACTGCCCAGAGCAGGGGACCTGGACAAGGCCACTTGCTCCTGAGCCCTCCTCTCAAGCCATATGTGATGGTGCTGAAAGAATCCCACAGGGTTACAAATTCCCAGCCAAAGCACTTGCACCAGACCCCAGTATCCTGGACTCAGAAGCTCA